AAAAAAAAAAAAAAAAAAAAATATCTCCTTTAAGACGACTAAAATAAACCAGTGAAGATAAGATGATAAATTTAAAAAAGTCAATGACCTATGTAATTGATATTGTACAATTAATACTCATTTGCCATCACTTATTATAACTTTTTAGAATTTCTCTATAAAATTTCCAACAAGATTCTTAAAAATGACCTTCACCTTGATCTTATATGCACACTAAAATGCAAAACATCTTTTTTAATGTTACTAGCTAACCCTATATCTCAAATTAGAGTAATTTACAATTCAAGAACACTCCCTCAAAATTCTCTTGTTCAACTAAAAAGATTTACAGAAGTAAAGCAGTGTGTGCTAGAACTTCACAAAAAAGGAATCTCTACTTAGATGAGGCTATTGGAAAGGTAAGGGTAAATTACCGTATAGTATTTCATTCAATTTAACATCTATTATCTCATTCCACCCTCACAACAATTTTATGATACAAGCAGGTTAGGGAATGGCTCTTCCCTAGAAGGAAAAAAAAAAAAAGGCAAAATGACTTCCCACAGTCCCTTGGCTACCCAGTCTTAGGCCCTATAGTATGAATGATGCTTTAAAAAATAGGGTTGAATGCCCCTGCTGGCAAACTCCAGGGTCAAATTTGTTGCTATATTACAACAGAGGAAATCGTCTTTTGAAAGCAAAAATGCACACTCTTCTCCATGGCAGAATAACTGCAATGTCCAGAAAGAACTGATGAGGACCACTGCAATCAGATGTGTGAGGACGGAGCTTCATCTGAGTCACATGTTCTGACAAGAATCTGACTAGGAGTTGGATAGTGAGGTGATGGAAACAGGCTCAAGTCTGGGTGCCCTCATAAGGCAAGCACAAGGCCAAGTATCATACTTACCTGCTGCAGTGTGAAGTACTGGAAAGAGCATGGGCTTTGGAGTCTGACAGACTTGGATTCAAACCCAGCTCTGTTACATACTGGCTGAGTTACTGTGGGCAAGTTACTTAATCTCTCTGAGCCTCACTTTCCTCACCTGCAAAATGGAGATAATACCATTATCAAGATAGTGACCCTGAAGGGATGTTGTGAGGGTTAAATGAGACAATAAATATAAAACTTCCTTGTTTTCTTGAATGACACCAACTGGCTCTCCCTATATTTTCATCCGAAGTGTAAGTAAACTAGAAATTTTCTTAAAAACCTTACCCTACTAAGTTTCCTATCCCATTACCTAGGAACCACCCCAGGAATCTTTAATGCCAATT